TCTTAGATATCCTTAAACAAAAGGTTGGCTTATCCTTTCGTTTAAAAAAAACGTGTTGTTTATATTGTTTAAATCCTGTGTTATATCACACAGAATATATATAGAATTATTACATTGTCTTCAACTTACAGATACTGTGAACGCAGCTTCATGTGAAAGCAGTAATTTTTGTTGCCACTTTGGAATTGATCTATTCGCAGTAGTCATGATTCATTTATTCTCTGAGCGAATGTGTCCACTGTCTGGTAATGGGGGGATTACCAAGATAAATCATGTAGTATTCAGCTAGTCATATGATCTTGATCATGACCCCGTGAGGCAGTCTGCTCAGTGTAAAATAAAATAGCTTTTTTTGGCTGCTGATATGACTGCAGTCTTCATGAGTGGACATCATTTTAAACTTTTTTTTCAAAAGTAGACAGGAAGATATTGATCCCGTGTGAGAAACTGTGGTGCATTAGCTACAAAACTGTGCATTAGACAAAAAGAAAAGTTCACATTTTAAACAAGATAGACAATTTATAGAGATCGATTAATATTAATTCTTGAGGTGACTTTTTAATCAGAAGACAATAGACACTCTGAGTCTGCTTTAATCTAAAATTTGTACACTTAATTTTTTAGTTTTGACCATTTCTGCCTATTTTCACTCTCATAGATAATGTTAGATCTCAGAGAGAAAATAGACAATTTTACACATTAAATTGTCAGACTGACTTTTCCAGTAAATTACTTTTATCTGCTGTTCACACAATCAACATCTTCATCTGCTTGGCTGATGAGAAGTGCGTTAGTATCTGTCCAATTTGACTTCCTAATGATAGCCATAAGGGGCCGATCACATGGTTTTGCCTTTAAAAAACGCACAATAGTATCTGAATGCAGAGCTCCAGCACTGATGAATGGAAAAGAATGTGGGATCTCTTTTTAAAAGCGTGAAACGTATGGCGCCACGGTAAAAGACACCGGTCTACCATGTTTACAGACAGTAACAGTCTGTTTATTATAAGCGTGAGCTGCAGTTTTGTCGTCTGCTGCTTTAAAGAGAGTTCACCCACAAATTAAAATGCCATAATTTACTAACCCTTATTTTGTTCCAAACCTGTATGAGTTTCATTCATCATCCATCAAATACTTGACTTTAGCCATTGACTTCCATAGACATGAGGGTGAATAAATGAGGACAGAATTTACATTTTTGATTTGAAAGGGTTGTTTTTTTCCTGAATCAGACTTCTGATTTAAATTCTAATTCTTCTAATTCTGATTCTAAACAGCACATCAGCAAATACTGAATACTGAAGTCTGTACACACATCTTTATTGCAGAAATGTTGTCGAGAAAATTTTAAATGTTAGTATATAATGCTACACATTACTTAATCAAAACAGCTTTGCTAAAGCTATGTGATTTTGAAAATAGTGACACTGCCATCTCGCTACTGAGAAACAGCTGAACTAACAGCTTTGCCACTGTTAACGACATTACTGCATAGTCATATATCTTCTCTGTGTTTTTACTGTCTTGTTTGTTGACCACTGTTGTTAGCAAGCCCAAAAGTAGAGTTTACCACCACAGCAGAGATTTCATGACGATTAACAGTACAAAACTTTAAAGACCTGTGTTTACAAAATTATTATCTCTCGCCAAACGTGCTATCAAAGTTGTCTTGCCATCTGGTGCACATTTAAAAGAGATTACAGACCTGACAGTGCTGGTTTTGTTGTTTTGATTTGCCAGTGGGCTCAGTAATGGATCATGCTCTTTGGCTTTTTATACGCTGTCTTTGTGGTTATCACGAGCTCATCACACACTGGCTACATGCTCCTCTGATACAGTAAATTGACTTCTGACTGCTGCTGCAAACATCTTATTTCTCAGCACTCTTAAAAATCAAGATTCCAAAGGGAGTTTTCACAGCGATGGCATATGTGACCCTGGACCACAAAACCAGTCTTAAGTGTCAATTTTTCAAAATATTGATTTATTCATCATCCGAAAGCTGAATAAATAAGCTTCCCATTAATGTGTGCTTTGTTAGGATAGGACAATATTTGGCTGAGATACAACTATTTGAATATCTGGAATCTGAGGGTGCAAAAAAATCAAAATATTGAGAAAATCGCCTTTAAAGTTGTCCAAATGAAGTTCTTAGCAATGCATATTACTTATCAAAAATTAAGTTTTAATATATTTACAGTAGGAAATTTACAAAATATCTTCATGGAACATGATCTTTACTTAATATCCTAATGATTTTTGGCATAAAAGAAAAATCTATAATTTTGACCCATACAATGTATTTTTGGCTATTGCTACAAATATACCCCAGCGACTTAAGACTGGTTTTGTGGTCCAGGGTCACATATAAGAACCATTTTTTGGGGATTCCTGAAGAACCTTTTAGTGAACAGTTCTTAAAATAATTTTTTTCGTAGTGTGAAGAACTTTTTAATAATCTAAAGAACATTTTTTTAAACTATAAAGAACATCTTGTCCAATAGAAAGTTTCCATGGATGTTCCATGATTGCCAATAAAGAACCTTTATTTTAAAGAGAGTGCAGTAAATGTTATTCACAATGAATCATGAATGCAATATCGATATTAAAGGAGTATTCCAGGTTCAGTACAATCTGCAGAATTCATGACATGTTGATTACAATTTTTCCTCCCAAAAAAAATAAAATAAAAAATCTACACTGACACACTTATAATGGGAAATGAAAAATAAAAATATAGATTGAACTTAATAGGATAGTTCACCTAAAAATAAACATTCTGTCATTTGCTCACCTCATTTAGTTCCAAATCTGCATGAGGAATATAAGACATCTTGAGAAATATCTCATTGCTTATTTTTGTCTTTACAATAGAAGTCAATGGCCACTAAAACAGTTTGGTTCCCTACATTTTTCTAAATATCTTCTATGTTCTACAGAAGACAGAAAGTCATATGGATAAGACATGAGGCTGAGTAAATGAATTTTCATTTTTGAATTTTTTTCCCTTAACTCGAACTATTCTTTTAAATACATTTCATAATGCAGTGGTGAAAATGGCATCTGGACCGAGCTCCTCGCCTCCCAATATTACACAAAGAAACACATGTCAACTACAGTGCAAGTTATCTATTGAGAGGTGTTTTTGTTCAGAGGGGGTGAGGAAAATGCTGACTGGCTCTATTGTCGATGAATGCCTTGCAAGGCTTACATTTTATGATCCATGCATCCTCTTCCTGCAGGGGTATTACCGCGTGGCAAACCATTAGTCTGCATTCTTTGTATCTGTAATGCTCCTGTTGTGTGGGAGAGGAGCGTAGCCATGCTGTCATGAGTCATAGGGTCAGGGAGAAGTAAGAAGTAAGACACACACACACACATTAGACGAAGCTCCCTAGCAGTTCAGCTCTTAACTGAAACCACATGCCACCCCCTCACAGCCAAACCAAATGAATGAATGTCTATTCTGAATAAAAGCTGAGCCCAGCTTCATGCATTAAGGTGACTGGCAGTCATCTGATATTCATTTGTTAGCATGCTTGTCTCACCGCTGCCATTTTTCTTGTCTGCGTTCGCAGCGAGGAGCTGTTGTATGTCTTTGGGTTTTGGGGGAAACTCGCTGCGATGATTCCCAAGTGGTAGTCCTTGAAGATTTACTTCCTGTGTGCTCTTGTGGCTGCTGTGTCTTGGGCCTTTTTCAAGGGGAAATGAGAAAGGAAGCCAGTGCACATGGCTTTTATTTCTGAGTCACATCTTCAGTGTTTCTGCCCACCGAATGGATTTATAGTTTCAAAGTGAAGGACAAGATGCACATAAAATTACATGACAGTGTGTGCAACATCTGTAAAGACAGAGGGCAGTTATGGATCAGTGGTACCGCTTCCCTATCTTTCATTTACATGTTTATATGACAAGGCCAGGGAAGAGTTTGTAGACTGAAACAGATGAGACAGGTTACGACTTGAGTCACTGCTCCCAGAGAAACAGCCCGTTTGAGAAAAAAGATTCATTGTATGCTACAAGTCCAGACATTTCTTTCATCAGTCAAATCAAAAGAATTGTATCGATAACAGATCCATGCCATTTTCACATACCCATCTATCTACCTATTTATCTGTCTGTCTGACTGTCTGTCTGACTGTCTATCTAGCTAGCTAGCTGTAGCTGTCTGTCCATCTCATTCAACACATTGATTGTTTAATACTACTGGAATCAGTATTTACACTATTGATGAAATACAATCAAACCATAAAAAATCATATCTACAAAAAAATTAAAAACACAACAGCACAGTAAAACGTTAACTGCAGTATTTCTTTAACTTCTTAACTAGCTTAATTTAAAAGGCAAAACAAAGATTGACAGCTGTAAACATCTGAAAACATGGTCCGGAAAAGAGGTACATGGGACCATAGAAAAAGAATGATGATGAAGTATTACCTCCATAGGTAGTCTAATCCAATTGGTTCACGTTCCACGTAATCAATCTCCTTATCCTGAAACTTTCATGATCTGAATATTGTTGGCCAGTTTCCATAAAGTATATATATTAGAAAAAATGACATCAAGGTTCTGATATTAATGCCATGGCGATTGTGTAAAAAAAAACTGTAATAGATAGCCTACATATAGAGATATTATTATTCAAAAATGATTTTATACAAAATAACAAAAAAAAACTCATTAATTAAAGAAAACAATAAAATTTTCGCTACTCCTGTTGTGGCAGAAAGTAATTATAAGGCTTGCTATTATGAAGGTGATCATCTAGGCTGGATTACACATGAGAACAAGATTATACAGTACTTTCTGAAGAGAAGCAATTACACCCACCCCTGGTGAAACTAGTAATGTTACAACTTTTATTAACCACCTTAAAGACAGAGTAAATTGGTCACCACTCGTGTTCTGTATACTGCATGGACGTTTCTATATATTCCATTTATCTTGTGTTTGAAGGCATTACTACTAACAGAACCTTTGTTTATTGTGATCACTAGATTCCTTTAAATGTTCAGAAGAAGCCACTGGAGACCTTCCTGTTCCCTTTTCCAAGCAGCTACTTGTTAAAGTATTTAAAGGTGCCGATTGTGATATTTCTTTCTAGTTTTCCACTTAACAGTCAATTGAGTCCAGGTGTTTGGGACAATTGCACAATTGTACTCAGAATCCATGATCATGTTTACATGTTGCCTTTCTCTTGTGTTGTTCTGGGAACTTGTACAGAAGCCCTCCAAAACACATTAGGACACTGCAGAAAGTCACTCTAGGACACTGTAAATTGAGAGAAAAAGCATAATTTGTCTAGCATAATTTGTTTGCAGATGAAACTTTGATATTTGCATCTAAAGCATTGATATTAAAAAGTATTTAAAATGCCCAGAAAGTGATCAAACTGAATGAGTTAAACGTAATGACTTAATGAGTAAAATGGATCAAAAGTACTGTCTTCAATTGGTTTGGACTGCAAACGTTCTTAAATTGATTGACAAATATCCATTTTCCAAGTAGAAAAGTGAAGGCATCATGATTTCTAAGAGTAAGCATGTTAAGATATATTCCTTTCCATCATTAGTTTTATGTTTTCCCCTGACCTATACAGTACAGAAGGATTGAAGTTACAGTTGTTTTGTTTTTCAGCTTCCAGCAACCAGATGCACTTCATGGCGATAGATAAAGAAAACCCATGCGCCAGGAGTTAAAAAGTCAAACAAGTAAGAACATTGTCTACAATTTCAAGATGCTCTTGGAGGAAGTAAACAAGCAGACATACAGACGTGAAAATAAGAACCCTCTTCTTTCCCCCCCTTCCATGTGACTGCAGAGGCATATGACTTCCATAACTTCATCGCTCATTAACCGCTGATGGCAGGACACAATTGAGTGAGTGTTTGTAAAACTTGCCCTAGATATTCAGATCTCAGTCCTTGGCTTTGGCTGTTGGGCAGATCTTCTCCTGTTTCAGATAGCGTCACCCTGCCTGACAACAGACCGTGAGGAACTTCACATGAGAGTCCCATGTAAGGAGTGAACTATGGGATACAACGGCTATGACCATTTAAATCCCTTAACAAGCACCACAGAAAAACAAATGACAGATTAGCATGATTTACCATGGCAGTGTTATTAAATTACCTCAGACACATGAGCCAACAATTGAGTTATTTAAATGTGCAGAGACAGTGGAATAGCTATGTAAGCACTGTGTAGCCTATTCTTTGTCTATTAATGATTTGGTACACCAGACTTTGTAAGGTCTTGAATAGAGCTAGTATTGATTATACCAAAAATACATAGGAAATAGGCCTAGGCTATCTTTAAAAAAAACAATATTCCCTATTAGCATTAAGGTTATGCATGAACGACTTTAGGCTAGTCGTTGTGTGGGCTTGACTGGGATGTCGTTTAAAGCAATGCGTTTATAAAATGTCTAATTAAATGATTGATTATATTATGTTGTATATTTTAAAATAACGCTGATAACTCTCAAACAATAAAGTGAAAACGAACAAAGTCCTATTGTTGTCTGTGGTTCGTGTGTAAATAAAATTGATGGTATGTTGCCACCTAGTGGTTGATTTCATGCATCCAGCAGACCGATCCGATGTCTAGTTTCATTCAGCTCTTACCTTCATATAAAAGACAACAAGCTCCATTAATGAACCTGATGTAATTTCTGTGTAATTCTGGGAATGAGAGCGAGGATAAGCATTAGACCTTGAGAAAGGACGCACACCATTTATGAGGAGGCTTTTAAGGACACGAGGTGGGTGGGAGCTAGATTTCCTCCTTGGCTTAGAAAAGACAACACAATCTTTGCCAGCTTCAGAATTCCCATCATTCCCTGGATATTAGCACATTCATTTTAGGTAAAGGAAATTGCACACCAGACCAGCTATGGTCTTATTCAAAGCTCCAGAATGATCCATTCATCATGTTTAGTTTGTATGCTGAGTAATAGGCTTGCTACATTCGTCTAGGCATAAACTGTGTATTAACACTTACTATCTTTTCTTTGGGACTTACAAAGTTATAAGAGTTTGAAAGTATTCAGATTAATTATATGAAGGTGTATTTAAAAGTTATTTAAACTGTTTTCACATTGTCCACAACAATATTCAAAAGATCACTGCCTTTTTCTGTTGTTTGTGATTTACTGGATAAGGATTTTTTTTTTAAATATTTGTAATTTCTACTTGATTAGATATTTTAGAGCTTGGCATAACAAGAAAATTGTGTTTTCATTATAAAAATGCACATGGAGATTTTATTAATTTACATGACTGTGTAATGTAATGTGTAATACATTGTTAATGAGAAATATCTTAATGTGAAGTTGTTTTGACTTGTTTTAAGTCAGCCTAAAGCAGGGGTGTCCACACTCTGTCCTGGAGGGCCACCGTTCTGCAGTTTAGCTCCAAATTGCCTCAACACTCCTGCCTGGTAAGACCCTGATTAGCTGGTTCAGGTGTGTTTAATTGCTGTTGAAGCTAAACTCTGCAGGACCCCGGCCCTCCAGGACCGAGTGTGGAGACCCCTTTCCTAAAGCAGCTGTATGTAGTTTTGTGTTTTTTGCGACTTTGGAGCCCCCAACAGTTAAATGTAATTCCATGTCGTAAATATATTACTGTTTTAATTACAGTGGATCGCTGTATATGTGTATTGGTTGCTGCAGTAAATGAGTATGCCTGTACCTGCTTACCAGACTTACATACTCGAACATACGTTTGGGGCAGAGTGTGGGAAAGAAACCAACGATATTGGCCTTATTATGAGTCAGTGTATCATCAGCATGATTTTGAAACTGATTTCAAGGTTTAAAAAAAAACGTACAGTTGCTTTAAGCACACTATGGAAGTTTGAGGCCCCCTATTGGGCCCTGTGAAAGTGACATTTAATTGAAATGTTGCCTGTTGTCTGTAAAGTGCACAATCAGTATGAAATCTGTGATCATTCATTCATTCATTCATTCATTCATCTTACCAGGGCTAAAGTTTGATGTTTGATAACATTTTGATTAGGGCTGCCACTAACGACAATTTTTTATTATTATGATTAATCTAAACGATTAATTTCCCACAAAAAAAAAAAAACAATTTTAAAGAACATTTTATTAAACTTTCAACTTTGCCATTCAGTAGTGTACCATAAAAAAAGTATAAATGTAAACAAGCCATTGACGAAATGTAAAACTAAAAGAGTAAAAATGTAAACAAACCTAATAAAAAGAAAATAATTACAAAAGTCTGAGAAAGTCAGCATGTTCTTAATGTCAGTATATCCACATGTTCATTGTAAAACTAAAAGAGTAAAAACGTAAAAAAACCTAATAAAAAGAAAATAATTACAAAAGTCTGAGAAAGTCAGCATGTTCTTAATGTCAATATATCCACATGTTCTGGGCTTCTGTTCATTACAGCTGTGAGTGCAACTACAAAGGGGGAAAAAATATGTTTCAATTAACAGTTGGGTTTTCACATTAAATAAATGCAATGGTTAGAGTCCACTAGAATCAAGTATTAACATTATAATTAATAATTAATTTTTGTGGTAATAAAAATATATGTAGGTTAAGTGAACAATAGCCTTTAAATTTACTTAAAATACATATATAATAGCAATGAGGCAATAATAATTAGTAGTATATAGCAAATAAAGTATCAAAAGCAAGAATACATATGGTTTTATTGAACAAAACTGTTCAAATACTGTATTATAATGTAATAGAGCCACTGATCTATATATAATTATAAAATAATATAATATAATCTCTATTATAGATCAGTGAATAGAGCTAATGTACAGTACGCATTACAACAAAGGCGAGGACTTCAGTAGTGAAACTCCAAATGAAATCCAAATTTCTATGAAATCCTTTCTTAAAGCAAAAGTAAAGTGCAACATAGAGTGCAAGAAGCAAGTGTCCATCTCATAGTCCAAATCACTCAAATCAAAGTTCAGTATTATAGTGTAAGAATGACAACATATCCATACAATGTTCCAGTCTACTAATAATAAAATATTATAATTAATTATTAATTATTGTGGTAATCAAAATAGATATAGGTTAAGTGAGCAATAGCCTTTAAATTTACTTAAAATACATATATAATAGCAATGAGGCAATAATAATTAGTAGTATATAGCAAATAAAGTATCAAAAGCAAGAATACATATGGTTTTATTGAACAAAACTGTTCAAATACTGTATTATAATGTAATAGAGCCACTGATCTATATATAGTTATAAAATAATATAATATAATCTCTATTATAGATCAGTGAATAGAGCTAATGTACAGTACGCATTACAACAAAGGCCTGCAGAGGGCGCCAACGGCCTGACGATTGTTTTTACACACTACTGGGCGTGGTTCTAATACTTGTTATGCTAATAATTACCAAGCATCATTTAATTCAAATGTCCACTTAATTTAATGAATATGTGGACATCAAAACGTGTAAACTCAGAGTGAGGGTTTGAGCTTTTATTTTGAAACCGCGAGATAATGATGTATATATATATATATATAT